GGGCCAAGGCCTGGCAGACTCCTTCTCAGTGCCTTTCCCTCCACACACCGGCTTCCCCTGGGGGTGTACCTGTGTCTGCGTGTGCACTGTGTATTGGGGGAGTGTATCGGGGGTGCTGTGTGTGTTGTATATCGGGGGATGTGTGTGTGTGTATGTTGTATACCAGTGTGGGTGAGTGTGTGTTGTGTATCTCTGGGTGAATGTGTGTATTGTATATCGGGGGGGGGTCTGTGTATTAGGGGAGGGTGTGTTGTATATCAGTGTGTGTGGTGTGTATCTGAGGGTGTACTGTGTATTGGGGTGTGGGTGTTGCATATCGGGGATGGGGGGGATGTGTGAGTGTGTTGTGTATCGTGATGTGAGTGGGTGTGTTTGTGTTGTGTATCGGGGCAGGTGTGTTGTGTATCGGGATGTGAGTGTGTGTGTTGTGTACCAATGTGAGTGGGTGTGTTGTGTGTCGGGGAAGGGGTGTATCGAGGGTGCTGTGTATTGGGGGGGGTTGTATATCGGGGCACATGTGTTGTGTATCGGGATGTGAGTGTGTGTGTTGTGTACCAGTGTGTGTGTGTGTGTTGTATATCGGGGATGTTGGGGGGATGTGTGAGTGTGTTGTGTATCGGGATGTGTGTGTGTGTTGTGTATCAGTGTGGGTGGGTGTGTTGTGTGTATCGGGGGTAAGTGTGTTGTGTCTATGTGTGTGTTGTGTATTGGGGTGTGGGTGCTGTATATCGGGTGGGTGGGTGTGTATCGGGGCACGTGTGTTGTGTATCGGGATGTGAGTGTATGTGTCGTGTACCAGTGCGTGTGTGTGGTGTTGTGTATTGGGGTGTGTGGTGTATCCAGGGGAGGGTGCACCCTCTAGTGGCTGACCCCAGTTATGCCACGGCCCAGGGTCAGGTTGCTGTCCGGTGTCTGCCTTGGCAGAGGCCTGTGGGGCGGGGGTGACGGCAGGCGAGGGGGGGCAGGGACTGGAGAGAGGAGAAAAGGGCCCCCATACCTCCAGCTGTGGCTTTATGGTTGACCCCTGGGGGTAAAATCGCGCCGGATGTGCCCTCTCCTGATCGCCGTCCTCCCCCCCTCCGGCTCCAGAGAGCGCCCCCAGTGCCCCGCCCTGCCCGTCCCTCACATCACCCCGCCTGTCACCCCCCTTGCGGCCCTGGGACTGGGGAGCCCGGGTGCGTCCGGCTGCCCACTCTGGGCCCGAGGGACCCACGGGTCTGCGCTGCACCTGACACGGGGCTTGTCCCCCCGGGATTGAGTACAAGTGTCCACGCCTGGCGCTCCTCAGGACCGGCTGCTGTACCGCCAGCTCCGCCCCGCCCGCCGGGCTACCGCTCGGTGC